CCATGTTTGGATCTAGGTCACAGTTCTGGGAGATGGGTCCTGGGGCAAGGAGGAGCCTTAGCATGGTGGAGCTTGTAGTGGTGGTAGAGAGACAATCCTCCTCACAGTTCCAAGGCAGAAAAGAGCACATGTGGTCACTCATAGACCAGGGCACAGGTCAGAAAAGGAGTAAACACCTCGCCCTTGATCATACCACCCTGGAAGAACTGAAAATTTATAGGTCCCTAGAAGTATCTCTGAAAACAGCTGCACAAAACCCCTGAAGCTTGGGACAGTACATTCTCCACATTGGAAGCAGACCCCTACTTTAATAAAGAGTTTAAAACTCAAGTAATTGGCTGGGAAAATGAGCAAACAGTGCAAAAAAAAGTCAGACCATAGAATCTTTCTTTGTTAACAAAGATGATCAAAACATGACCAGAAGAAGACAACAAAGTCAAAGCTCCTACATCCAAAGCCTCCAAGAAAAATATGAATTGGTCCCAGGCTATGGAAGACCTCAAAAAGGATTTTGAGAAGCAAGTAAGAGAAGTAGAGGAAAAACTGGGAAGAGAAATGAGAATGATGAAAGAAAATAATGAAAAACAAGTCAACAGCTTGCTAAAGGAGACCCAAAAACATACAGAAGAAAACAACACCTTAAAAAATAGCCTTACCTAAATAGCAAAAGAAGTCCAAAAAGCCAATGAGGGGAAGAATGCCTTAACAAGCAGAATTGGCCAAATGGAAAAGGAAGTCCAAAGGCTCACTGAAGAAAATACTTCCTTTACAAATTAGAATGGAGCAAATGCTAGTGACTTTATGAGAAATCAAGACATTGTAAAAAAGACCATAAGAATGAAAAAATAAAAGACAATGTGAAATATCTCATTGGAAAAACAGCTGACCTGGAAAATAGATCTAGGAGAGATAAATTTAAAATTATTGGACTATCTGAAAGCCATGATCAAAAAAAGAGCCTAGAAGGGGCAGCTAGGTGGCACAGTGGATAGAGCACTGGCCCTGAAGTCAGGAAGGCCTGAGTTCAAATCCTGTCTTAGACCAAACACTTGACATTCATTAGCTGTGTGACCCTGGGCAAGTCACTTAACCCCTAAAAAAAATTTTTTTTTTAAAAAGAGCCTAGACATCATCATTCAAGAAATTATCAAGGAAAACTGCCCTGATATTTTAGAACCAGAGGGCAAAATGGAAATTGAAAGAATCCACCGATCTCCTCCTGAAAGAGATCCCCAAAGGAAAACTCCTAGGAATATTGTAGCCAAATTCCAGAGTTCCCAGGTCAAGGAGAAAATGTTACAAGTTGCCAGAAAGAAACAATTCAAGTATCATGGAAACACAATCAGAATAACTCAAGATTTAGCAGCTTCTACATTAAAGGACCACAGGGCATGGAATATAATATTCCAGAGGGCAAAGGAGATAGGATTATGACCGAGAATCACCTACCCAGCAAAACTGAATATAATCTTTCAGTGGAAAAAATGGTCATTCAGTGAAATAGAGTACTTTCAAGCATTCTTGATGAAAAGAACAGAGCTGAATAGAAAATCTGACTTTCAAATACAAGACTCAAGTGGAACATGAAGAGGTAAAGAGGAAAAAGAAATCATAAGAGACTTATTAAGATTGAACTGTTTACATTCCTGCATAGAAAGATGATATTTATAACTCATGTATGTATAGATAGATGATAGATAGATAGACAGACAGAGAGCACAGGGTGAGTTGAAGATGAAGTTTTTCACAACATGACTACTATGGAAATGTTTTGCATGACTACACATGTATAACCTGTATCGAGTTGCTTGCATTCTCAATGAGGGTGGGTGGGAGGGAGGAAGGGAGAAAATTTGGAATCTAGAGTTTTAAAAACAAATGTTAAAAATTGTTTTCACATGCAACTGGGAAATAAAATATGCAGGCAATGGGGTATAGAAATTTATCCTGCCCTACAGGAAAACAGAAGGGGAAGAGGATAAAAGAAGGGAGGGTATGATAGAAGGGAGGACAGATTAGGAGAAGGGGTTTCCAGAATGCATGCCATCTTGGGGTGGGGGGAGGGATGAGATGGGGAGAAAATTTGGAAATCAAAATCTTGCGGAAGTAAATGTTGAAAACTAAAAATAAATAAATTAATAAAATTGGAAGAAAAACAATTGTGGACCAGCCCACTGTAGTCTCCTCTTGGTGCATAATTCTCCTATTCCTTTTTCAAATAATCATCTTTCCCTTTCACAGTATAAACCCAGGGAGTAAAAGAATTCTTATCTTTCTTTCTCTCTCTCTCTCTTTCTTTCTCTTTCCTTCCTTCCTTCCTTCCTTCCTTCCTCCTCCCTCCCTCCCTCCCTCCCCTTCCCTCCCTCTCTTCCTCCTTCCTTCCTTCCTTCCTTCCTTCCTTCCTTCCTTCCTTCCTTCCTTCCTTCCTTCCTTCCTTCCTTTCTTTCTTTCTTTCTTTCTTTCTTTCTTTCTTTCTTTCTTTCTTTCTTTCTTTCTTTCTTTCTTTCTTTCTTTCTTCCTTCCTGTCTTTCTTTCTTTCTTCCTTCCTTCCTTCCTTCCTTCCTTCCTTCCTTCCTTCCTTTCTTTTTTTCCTTCCTTCTTTTCTATCCTCCACTCATCTGGGATATTCCAGTTCGATGGCAAGAAGGTGAGTAAAGCTGGGGCATGCAAGAGAGTAGGTCAGAAAGAACTCTTTTTGAGGATGTAAAAGAATTGCCAACTCACCATTTCTTATTCAGACTTCTTCTATTGTTCCCTAACTGGTATCTCCACAAATCCCCATGCCCAATATTTATAAAACCTTTTCATTTGTACAATATTTTCAATTAGAAGTTTTTTCATGTTATTGTTTTTTTCTGATTTTGTAAAAAAAAATAATATTCCCATTTTATAAACTGAGTAAGGGAGGCAGTTAGGTGGTACAGTGGATAGAATGCTGGGCACTGCAGTCAGGAAGTTCTAAGTTGAAATCCAGCCTTGGACAGTTACTAGCTGTGTCATTTTGGGCAAGTTATTTAGCTTCTGTATGCCTCAATTCCCTGAACTGTAAAATGGAGATAATAATAGCACCCACCTCCCAGGGTTGTTGTGAGGATAAAATTAGATGATATTTGTAAGGAGAAGGAAATAAGCACTTATATAGCACCTACTATGTGGAAGGCACTGTGCTAAACATTTTGCAAATATTATTTCATTTGATCTTTACAAAAGCCCTGAGAGGTAGGTACTGTCATTAACCCTATTTTATAGTTCAGGAAACTGAGGCATACAGAGGTTAAGTGATTTGCCCATGGTCATACAGCTAGTAAGGTCTGATACTGGATTTGAACTCAGGTCTTCCCTGACTCCAGGCCCAGTACTTCATCTACTACACCACCTAACTGCCTCTGATAGAGACTTAGAATAGTGCCAGGTTCAGAGTAGGCACTTAATAAATGCTTTTCCCCTTCCTTCATAAATAACTTGTCTGCAGGACTTAATGGCAGAGTGGGGATTAGAAAGCAGATGTTTTGGTCCTGAGCTTAGTGATCCTTCCATGAAGTCCTGTTGCCTGTGCACCGCTTGTATTTTATCATATGACACTGACTTTTAGGTCAGCAAGAACCGAGTGTCAGAACTATGGAAATTCCCTGGTTCTTTGGCCAAAGAGCAGATTTCCCGTCTAATGCTGACACTGTGCTAGGGTCCACAATCCTTGAAAAGGCCAGATCTCCCTAAAAGAAAACCAGGATCTGGAATACCTCTCCCCAAACTGGCTGAGTTAACACAAGCTGCCATGATCTCATTGTTGCTATTTCTCTTTCTTTTTTTTCCTGAGGTCAACTTCTCAAGTGGTTAATTATCACCCGTTCTCTTTTTCTTCTTCTTTTTTTTTTTTGAAAGCTGCCAATGAAAAATAAATTCTGTTCCACATCCTTAGGAGTGAGCAGATAAGCTAGGCCACTGGATAAGGTCCAAATTCTACTTGCCTTTATCTTTTTCATTTTTACTTTGAGTTGAGGAGTCACTATTGCCTATGGCTATGGCAGAATAGACTCTCTGTGGAATTCTGACCGAGCTGTAGTTTTTCATGGAAACTGATAGGAATCTTTTTTGTTTTTGTTTTTGTTCTGCCCTAGGTATTGTGGTTCCTCAAATGGAATAGGAAATATATGGAAAGTACATGTATGTTCTTTGAATATACTAGCAATATTTGATATTTTTTTCCCAAGGGTATAATACCTCTGTTCAATTCAACATTTATTTATCAAGCACTTACTGAGTACAGGATGTTAGGTACTGGGAATATGTGAACACTAGAAGGATATGTGATCTTTTTCAGCCTGGGAGATTCCAGCCACCAAAGCAGATCAACATGTTTATGACTTGGTAGATGTGTCATAGGGAATTGCTTGAGACACATAAAAATTAAGTGACCTTGCCAACATTACCCAGGTAGTAAGACTCAGAAACAAGACTTGAACTCAGGTCTTTCTATTGCTATGCCCAGCACCCTATCCACCAAGTCATTCAGCATCTATAGGCACTAGAGATAAAATGATTAACATACACACACACATACACACACACACACCCTTTCCTTAATGAATTTGTATTCCAATGAGGGTTTGGAGTAAGGAGGGGATAAAGACATACACAAAAATAACCATAAGTTAGAAAATCACTAAATCCTCAAGAGAGGTTCAATTAGAAGGGATAAGAGAGGGATGTGTAGGGAGAAGGATGTGTAGATTTAGAACTGGAAAGGGCCTAATGATCACTTACCCTCCCTCCCTCCCCACTCAATTGATGAGGAAACAGTAGTCCAAGAGATGTGATTTGCCCAAGGTTGCTCAGGTAATTACTAGCATTGTCTTTGGGATGCCAAATTCCATCTTCCTTTCACTCCCTCACCCTGCCGCCCCCATTTCTCTAGGAGGAATCTGCTGGGATGTTAAGTTGAATTCTCATCTCCCACCTCTCATTTTCTCTCCTTCACCTCAACAGGAGCCCACAGTTACCTGCACGTAATCTAAGACTTGTTGGTGTCTTTGCTTGGCTGCTGCTACTTCGGTGTCTGAGATTGCTTCCCTCAGGGACTGCTGGGTGTTCAGAGAATCGAGTTCCACAACAGCAGAAAGGCGGCAATACAGACTAATAAATTTCTCCCTGTAGCTACAAAAATGAACTGGAAAATGGACAAGCAAAACAAAACATGTTAAGATCTAGTATCAAAATAGAGAAATTTATACCTTGGAGAAAACAAGTTGAATGAAAACATGATTTATTAATCTGATCAGTGGAAAATATTAAGCCATAAATAAATTATAAATGTACTCTTAAGGGGCCAGTTGTCTGGCTTTAGTCAGACAGTTTTTCCTCTTAAGGTTTTTTATCCAGCTCTGGTTAAGACACAGAGAAATGGTGAGGGCTAAAGTCAGAGTTTATGTGGACTTTTCCCTCATAAATGACATATATGTATATACATATATATGTATATATATTATATATACATATATATGTATATATTATATATACATATACGTATATATTATATATACATATATACACACATATACATATATGTATATATGCACACATACATTTGTCTATCTAGTTATCTATCTATCTATCTATCTATCTATCTATATCTATCTATCTGTCTGCCTATCTATTTTTTTGTGGGGGGATTTGGACCTTTTATTTCATTGGTATACAAAACTTCTGGTGAGGAAATAATAATAATAACAAACATTTATATAGTGCTTACTTTGTGCCAGGTACTATGCTAAGGTCTTTGTAATTATTATCTCATTTGATCCTTGCAAAGGCTATGGGGAAAATGTATTAATATTATCCCCGTCTCTAGATGAGCAAACAAGAAAACAGAGGTTAAGTCACGTGATCAGGGTCACACAGCTATTAAGTGTCTGAGGCCAAATTTGAACTCAGGTATTCCTGATTTTAGGGTAGGCTGAGCACTCCTTCCACTATACAAACTGGTTGTCCCTAGGAATATCACTCTATCAACGCAAATCAGAAAATGTTCTGCAAATTACAATCTTCAAGTTGCCTAGGCACTGAAAGGTTAAGTCTTTTGCCCATGTTCACAAAATCAGTATGTATAAAAGGCATGACTTGAACCCAGGTCTTCCTGACTCCAAGTTCAGCTTTTTATCCACTGTGCCATGCTGCCTCATACATACATTCTTATCTCTGTCTCTAGCTCCATCTCCATGCCCATCCCCATCCTTATCTTCATCCTGTCTCTGTCCCTATCTCCGTCTCTCTCTTTTTCCTTCTCTCTCTCTCTCTCTCTCTCTCTGTCTCTCTCTGTCTCTGTCTCTCTCTCTCTCTCTCTCTCTCTCTCTCTCTCTCTCCCTCCCTCCCTCCCTCTCTCCTTCCCTCCCTCCTTCCCTCCCTCCCTCCTTCCTTCCTTCTCTCTATATGTTTCTTTTTTTCTCTCTGTCTCTCTCTGTCTCTTCTCTCTCTCTCCCTCCCTCCTTCCTTCCTTCTCTCTATATGTTTCTTTTTTTCTCTATGTCTCTCTCTCTACCTCTTTAGCTCTCTCATTTCCATCCACACCCATAAGTGACTATATCTACACAATCTAAGTCTACATGTGCACCTACAGCTACATTGACACCTTTATCTATAGAACAGAGTGACTGTTTTGCTCTTTGTGCTTAGCACAGTGTTTGGCACATAGCAAGTATATAATAACTACTTGTTGATTTAATTATATTTCACATTCATCAAATTAGAAAAATAAGTTTGCTTATCACTTTAAAGAAAAAAAAAGGCACAGCAGAAGACTTGAACCCAGGTTTGATTTCTGAGTTTGACTTTTACTGAATGTCAAGATTTTAGGCAGCACTAGAAACACTGAAACAAAAGTGTAAGAAGTTATTCTTCTGGTCTCCCTATAGCCTATCTTTGAAACCCTGAGTATCTCTCTCTCTCTCTGTAAGGAGACTGTCATGACTGGAACTGGTTTTTCTTTCAGCCCTCTACACCACCCTGCCCCCAACACATTTAGCTTCTTTGGAGGTTACTGAGAATTAAACTCCAAGTGGGGCATGCCAAGGGTTGGACCTCTTTCCCCTGAGAGCAATGGAAGCCTGGAGCATGGGGACCGGGAGTGGGGAGGGATCAGCTGTGGCCTGAGTCCTTGGCATCATGGGGACGTGCCCAGCCTGCTTCGAGGAGGTAGTCCCACCCTGATCCATGGAAGGATAGCTGGCCCCAGACCACATTCCACACCTACTGACCAGCCTCTGATGAACAAGCCAAGCCCTGGTTGCTTACTTGAACTGCCCTGACTGGCCACACCTTGAAGCTTACCCCATCAGTGTCTCCTCCAAAGGGGTGAGACAACTGCTCTGAGTCTGGCGAGGGTCGTCCTTTGTCTAATCCTGGGCATTGTGCAACATGGAGTCACGTTTTCCTGAAACCTCATTTGCTCTCAGCAGATCCCTGCACTGTTGTGCGTGCTCTGGATTCCAGATGGGCGTGTCCAGTTAGGCAGCCCGTTGAAGACTTTTTCATATTTGTTTCTTGGTTTCTTTGGTGAGGGGGACAAAGGGAGCATCTACCTCCTGTTCTGTTAGTGGTCAGTTTGGTTAGTAGGAGGGAGCAGCCTCTTATGTCTCTGGTCTTGAGACTGAGGCCTAGACAATTGGGACCAGACCCTTGGAAGTAAGTAAGCCACCCCTCCTTTGGCAGGCACAAAGCAAAATGCTCTAGTCTAGCATCAAGCCCTCCCTGGCCCTGGATGAAGGAGACCCTCTTGCATTTGTCCCTTCCTCTCCATTCCCCCAACCATTACACGACTTCAGGCCTCCCTTGCTTCTCCTCTGAGCAATTGCAATGTTTTCCTGGTCTCTCTGACTCAAGTTTCTTCCCTCTCCCAACTACCTTCTTTCCATACAGCTGATGAACTGATTTTTCTAAAACTCAGCTCTGTCCACTCAATAATTAACCTCCTGTGGCTTCCTATTACCTCAGAGGTTCAATAAAAACTCTGTGTTTGGCATTTAAAGTCCTTCACAGCCTGGTTCCTATCTTTTAAGATTTATTACACATGACTCCCCTTCACAAATGCTATGATCAATCAAATTGGCCTTCATATTATTTCTCACTCCATCTCTTGTTCCCATTCATAGCTGTCTTCTATGAAATGCAATTTTCCCTCCATTCTCCCTCTTAGAATCTCTATTTTCTTTCAAGATTCATCTTAAGCTTTGTCTTCTAATGCAGTCTTTCTTAGTACCCCCCAAATGCCAGTGCTTCCCCCATCTAATTTTTTCTTATATTTATTTTGGGCATATTCTATACGTACCTATATATGAACATGTTTATTTCTCTTGATAAAATGTCTTTGTGCCTCATACAGTGCCCAGCACACAACAGGTGAATAATAAATGATTGCTGAATAATTGACTATACTGTACATCATATGGCAGGTGGTGCAGTGGATAGAGCACCAGGCCTTGAGACATCAAGACCTGACTTCAAATCTGGCCTCAGACACTTACTAGCTGTGTGACCCTAGGCAAGTCATTCAACCCTGTTTGCCTCAGTTTCCTCATCTATAAAATGAGCTATATAAGAAAATAGCAAACTGCTCCAATATTTGCCAAGAAAACCCCAAATAGGGTCACGAAGAGTTGGACATGACTGAACAACATGTCATATATTCCCTTCTTTTATCACTGTTTACTTTAATCCTTGACTCCTTCTCTGTAACAACCAAGCTGAGGGTAAGAGTAGGTCCGCTTTAACAATTTATATTTTCCTCTAGGGACTGGAGAATATGGTGCAAAGGTTTCCTCCCAAAGCAGCAGTGATCTGAGCCCTGAAATTCAGCCTCATAGACTGGAAATGTAGGATTTCACCAATCTTGCTTAGGGTAAGCTAATCAACCCATCATCTAATTGTATACAGAGGTTTTACCTCTCAATATGACTATTCTCCATTGTGGCGTGCCCTAATTTGGGCATTCTGCAAGTTAGATCCTCCCCTACACCTTTCATGTGCCATGTTTTTTGGGGGAAGATAAGAAGATTTCATTGGTATAGAAAATTCCCAATGAAGAAACTCCCTTCACAAATGTAGACAGGCAACTTCTCTGCAACTTAGAGCCTTAGCGAGTTCCTTGGGGCCACTGAGATCCCCACAGCCAGTAGATCAGACTTTTACTCAAGTTTTTTGATTCCGAGGACCAATCTCTGTTCACTAGGCCATGCTACTTTCATAAGCCACTTAATTCTTCCTTAAGAATATGCCACTGTTTTCAAAGTTAGTGGCCTGAGACATTGGACAACCTATTGAATGAACTGTCTAGTGAAGGGGCCCAATGAATCAAACAATAGATAGAAAGAATGAGCCACGCTTCCTCTGCAGAGGTGAGAAAACACTAACTCTCTCTCTCTCTCTCTCTCTCTCTCTCTCTCTCTCTCTCTCTCTCTCTCTCTCTCTCTCCTTTGGCTAGGCAAGGGGGTTAAGTGACTTGCCCAGGGTCACACAGCTAGTTAAGTGTTAAGTGTCTTGAGGCCACATTTGAACTCAGGTCCTCTTGACTCCAGGGCTGGTGCTCTATCCACTGCACCACCTAGCTGCCCCAAGAACACTAACTCTTATCCCAAAGCCAAGGCCACTTAGATCTTTGCTCCAAAGGACCCCCTTTATCCCATTTTATCTTGTGCCACTCTGTTTTAGATTATTCCCAATCTGAAGGGTCTTTCCGGGTTGTGAGACTGTCTGCAACCTACTGCAAAGCCACAGAATATGAGCCCTAGAAGTTTCTGTGACATTCTAGTTTTCTTTTATCCCTAAACAGACCCATAAATCTGACCTCATGCTTTTCAAAATAGGGATTATGTCCTGTTAGCACTTAACAGATGTCATCTTTTGGCAGGAGAGAGAACGAAATGTCTTAAAGCCACTCTTTCTAAGCCGAATCAAAGTTTTAAAAACTCTCTCTCTCTCTCTCTGTCTCTCTCTCTGTCTCTCTCTTTCTCTGTCCTGTTTCTTTCTCACTCCTTTCTCCATCCCTTTCTGTCACCTCTGGCTCTTATAGAAAAAAAGGAAAGAAAGAAAGAAAAGGAAGAGAAAAGCAGAGGAGAAAAAAAATATGCAGTGAAAAGAAACCTGGATTTGGAGTCAGAAGACCTGGATTCAAATTCT